ATTATAGGCTTGTTAGTAACCAAGAAACGAGACATAAATAGAGAATAAAGTATTGATTACATTTTAATTTTTGAAGGTTTTTTGAAGGTTTTTGCAAGGTTTTTGTAATGAAGTCAGGCATGATAAGTAGGCAAAGCATGACTTATTGTTTGTGGCATGATAAGTCTTATTGAATTTGAGGTTTTATGTCAATCCTAAAAAAAAATCCAAAGTTCATGGTAGAAGCTATACAAAGCAAACGTTTGCTGCACATTTTGGTCATAAGTGGAGTAGTTTGAATCAAACTGTTAATTGATCCGATCGACACACATTGAAATACATTGAATTGTTTGACAACCGCCGGTTGAGTTGAAAGTATAATTAGAACCAAGCGACAGACATTTTGGCATTTCGGGTGACAAACATTTCAATGAATGCTGATCCAGTGAATTTCTAGGGTAAGGTGCGCTAGCTTGCCAAACCAAACTCAATCTCGAGTAGCACAAGTCGGTTCATCGAATGGAAATCCGGTGCCAAGCCAGCATGACTCTAGCATGACTCTAGCATGGTGCTGGCTTTGATTGCAATTCGAAACCATTCCAGAATCACACCAACTTAGTGCCGGATTTCTGATCGATTAACCGACTTGTGTCATTCGGGATTAAAGCATTTCATAGCCTCAAAACGCCCAAGCTTAGAATTCAATGACATTTGATCTAGATTGCTGATTTCAGTTTTTACATTGAATTAGCTTTTGATAAAAACACTAGAATTAATTCAATTTGAAATTTTTTTATAGTCAAAAATAGCTCAACCCTCAAACCTTTAATTTCTTGTGATATCACTCTCTAAGCTTCATTGACAAAGACCATGAAATTATTAATGAAAGGAATATCATTCCTTAATTTGCCATATCAATCATTTTAGCTTCTAACAAAAACCTTCCAAATCACAAGAAAAAAAGAAAGCTTTAATTTTCTTTTCCGTGTAATTCATAAATTTTCATAGTCTGACTTGCTAAATTCCATTGAAAAAAAATTATGAGTCGAAATAAATTCCGACTCGTGGCAATTCACCGAGGGAAAAGTAAGAAGTAAACTTTTACAGAAAGAAGAGACAGAAAAAAATGTTGTAATTCTTTTTAGTTCCATTATTGGAAGGGAGAGAAAATAACAATAATAATCATAATTTCCTTCCCATTCCTCCCCATTATTTTCATAATTCTTCTTATTTAAATCGCGTAACTATAGTCAACACCATAATACTTACTTTTTATATTTCTTATACATTATTATGGAGTCTTTCCATTATTTTATTATTTTTTTTGGTCTCATCTACCTTTTTTTGTCTTACTTATACTTAATATATGTGAGTATATATAATTTACTTCATTCTTCTTCTTTTTTTTTGTCTTTTTTTATGCTATAAAGAATCCCTACACTTTATAAATTTTTTTTCATTCATTTTCTCTTATTTTTTTTTTGCGAAAAAGGAAAACTTTTCTTCGTTTTTTTTTATTCCTTACTCTGTGTGTAAAGTGGAAAACTTTTTCTGGCACTTTGAATTTGAATTCTTTCTTCTCATTTTCTTTAGTCGTGAAATGAAATGAAATTTTTCAAACTGCCAGAAGAGCTTTCTACTTTTTTTGCTCCTTTCTTCCCTTCAAACGTTCTTTACTTGTCTAATTTATTTGATTTCATCTGATACAGAGTGTCTGTTTCTATTGGAAACGTTTTGTCAGATTTTTTTCTTTGTTTTGAAATTTATTCTTAAAAACTTGGGAGCTTGAAACAAAATTGAGCTTTTTTGAACAAGATTAAGCTTTCGAATTAGATTGAGCTTTTTTGAACTAGACAAAGCTTTTTTCGAACATTATAGAGCTTTTAACAACCTTTTTTTGAACAAATTAGAGCTTTTACCAAGCTTTTTCGAACATATTAGAGCTTTTTCGAACAATTTTAAGTTTTTTCGAACAATTTTAAGCTTTTTCAGAGCAAGAAAGAGTACGTTCAAACATAATTGAGCTTTTTCGAACAAGACAGAGCTTTTTCGATCAAAATGTTCTATTTTAGAACTAAATAGAGCTTTTTCGAACAAGAAAAAGATTTTTCGAAGTGTTTAGAACCTTTTCGAATTGGATAGAGCTTTATCAAAGAAGATAAAGCCTTTTTTGAACAAGAAAGAGGTTTTACGGACAAAATAAAATTTTTATATAGCAATAAATAGCTTTTTCGAACTAGGCAAAGCTTTTTAGAACAAAAAAGAGCTTTTTTTGAACAATTCAGAGCTTTTTCGAATAAAATGTAGGTATTTGAACAAGAAAGAGCTTTTTCGAATAAAATGTAGGTATTTGAACAAGAAAAAGCTTTTCCGAACAAGACTGAGTTTTTCGAACACAATCGTGCTTTTTGGACAACATTATTCTTGTGATCAAGTTCGAACTTAAGAATATAGTTCATTTTGAAATCAAAATCTTAAAGGAAAAAAAAATCTGACAAAGTTTTTCTAAGAAATCTAATTTTTTATCGAGTTGAGATTAAAATTCCCTTTCTAGTTTTTCTTATTATTTTTTTGTTGTGCATGTCATTAGATATTGCGATGGACATGAGCATCATGTCTCATTCCACTATACATTCGTTAACTTTTATTTCTTCATTTTTTATCATATTTAAATCTTGAATTTTGTTTTCTTATTTTATTTAGATATATAAATTTCACAAAAGCTTTGCGTTTCTTCAAGCATTCTGAAACTTTTACAGCTTTCATCCCTATTTTTTTATATTTTTTTATTTAAAATGAAAACTGACTACTTCTGCTGCTGCTAGTTAAACATATAAAAAACATATTTCATTTCAAGTTATTTAAAAATTGGGCATGAACAGCAAAGCAGAGACAGAGTATGAGATGCGGAACAGACGGGAAGAAAAGCAAACCCGAAACGGAACAGAAGATAATCTTATTGTGATGCCTGGCCTAGCAATTTATTTACTGAGCATTTAAAAGACGAGATACATAGACGTAAAGAAGACGAGAAGTAAAACAAGAAAAGGAAAAGAAAATCATAAGATGAATAAAATCCGATTTACACTTTACAGCAACAGCAAAAAAAGAAGTAAAAAGTTGAGAAGAAAAAATAAACTTTGGACTTGTGAGATGTCGGAAGGGATGTTTAATTCTACAAGACAAACGAAAAAGTTTATTTTTTTCTCTTCCTTTGCTGTTCTTGTTCTATTGAAGGGGAAGTGTAATATTTTGAGAATGAAATACTTTTCATTCAATATTGTGACTCGTGATGATGAAAATTTTCTTTTTTATGGGGACAGAGACTGGTTTCTAGTGCTAACAAGGGACCCTAATCTAGTCGCAGTTAAATTTTATTTATTGCATAGAATTAAAGACATAGATTTTCGATTTTAAGGTAGGATCCCTAGTAACCAAAAGGTAGATCAATGTATTCCATGAGAATCTTCCATGGATGATACATATGTATTATCCATGTATTATCCATTGGAAGAAGATGTCCTATGAAAATGGAAGATAAATGGACAATGCAATAAGACATCAATGTAATACATCAAAGGAATACAAATGGAAAAAAAATGGATTACTTTTTTTTGGATAAAAACACGTGTTAAATTCCACGTGTTCTTTTGTATTTTTCATTAATTTGTGTAAATTTTTGTAAAAGTATTAGTGTATACTTAATTAAAGTACACTAACACTACGAAAAAGAACAAAAGGACTTAATTTAATTAAGTCGCATACTGATGAATGCCCAAGACTCGCACACAAACCTGAGGAAGATAAATAATTAATTAAAAGCCCCATACAAATTAAGAAAGAACTTATAATAGTGATTTCTGCGAGCACTTGTGAAGTATATGGCAAATGCCAAATTTAGAACAAATATTATTTTCCTGCAAAAAAATATTTTTTTGATGATTTTTCGTAGGTTTTGAACATAAGCGGGCTCGGGTTATACTTCGATGGAACACTTCTTTTACATATTTGTAAAACAAATATTTTCCATATAATAAATAATGATACATTTGATCTTCCATCGACGTCAAAGGAAGATTATATGGAACATTTTGGTTACTAGGGATACCATAGGGAGCTTTAAAAATCAGACCATGATTTGAAAGGAAAGGAAATCGATAATTTCAGACAGTAAGGCTCTGCCAGGGTACGGCATATAATGGATAAGATGATATCTATCTTCATTTTAATATATTATTTTTGGAGTTTTAATCTAAACTGCCTGGACATCATCTGATTTTTAACATTTTCATGGCGTACATCTCTAGTTTCCTTAGATGATCCGTCCAACCAGAGCTCGAAGTCGAAAGGGGTTCGTACAAGGGTATGGTACTGATGAAATGATCAAAAATAATCAAAAATTGTCAAAACTGATCAAAAATGCTCAAAATGTAATTCTTCAGTCCCACAAGTTGACTCAAATTGACTCAAGTTGACTTGACTCGACTCAAATTAGAGTCGACTCAACTTTTGTCTATTCGTCTTTATTTTTCTCGACTCAAGTCAATTCGCCTCGACTTTGAGCTCTGCCTACAACTAAACTTTCAAATTTCCTTCCTTTAATTTTCATTTCCTCACATCTTTTGTCTCCCTAAAATCATCATTCTTCCATCACTCACTCTGTCCTCTTATGTGTACAATAATTCTCATGAAATCAAATCAAAAACATCTCATTCCATCTCATCATAACTCTGTATTAATAAATTTATATCAAATGCAGCAGACAGCAGATGATAAAAAGCAAAACATATCAATTCATATAAAAATCTTTCTATCTCATCACTCGAATGTTGAAGATAATCGAAAAATCATCTCCATGATTTCAAAGTATAAAGAAGCGAACTTACACCCGAAAAAAAAAATTCTCTTTATCTTCTTGCTTTCCTCTGTAGTCTTCCCTCCGCTGGTTTTAGCTTTTTTTTTTGCTTTATTGTTATGCATGAATGATGTTGACTATGTGAGAAATAAAGTGTTTATATCGTTTAAAGTTTCTTGTACCAATATAAGTAATGTTCTCCATCCTCAACCATTAGTTCATCAACCCCTGTAAAGAGAATTGTATAAGAAGAAAAAAGTGTGAAAATCGAATGTGAATGAGATAAAAAATGATAAAGTTACAGCACAGTACATAACGATGCATATATAAATTAATGGAATCGCGTTTCACTAGTTTTGTTGGAATGTGAAAGGATTGAGTGATTTTATTGGGTTGCTTGCATAAAAGTCTTACAAACTATGTGTTGTATAAGCATTAATAGGTGTGAATAAGTTGTTAGTCTACAACAATCTATATTCAATCTAGGATCCGGAATTACTTCGCAAAATTGGAATTGTTCAATTATGACGTCAAGAGGGGGCGGGGAGGGGGGGGGGGCTAGTGCAACAAGACCAGTATAAAAGAAAATCCCGATAATAAATTGTTCTTTTTTGAAAAATGACCGTTAATTTCAGGCGTCAAAAGTGAACGACCCCTCAATTTTTGCGATTTAAATCAAAATCTCAGAGTTTATTTTTGATTTTGATTTAAATCTCAATGAAAAATGATTTTAAAAAGAGATTTTGATTTAAATCATTTTTTCAAAGAGATTTTTTTTGGAATTTTGACTTAAATCATTTTTTCAAAGGGATTTTTTTGGGATTTTGATTTAAATCATTTTTGTTTGGGGATTTTTTTTGGGATTTGAATCTCTTGTATGAAAGATTTTATTGGGATATAAAAATCCCGCCGTATAAAATTTTTGTATGCAATTTCTCAATTTTTTTTCAGATCAATAGTATTCAGCCGCATATTCTAATCCTAAAAGATCCAGTTGCAAGATTCTGGCCGAAAAAGGATCAACTGCATCCTTACTTATTAGTAAATGCGGTTAAAAACTGTTGATTTGAAAAATAATTTGAGAAATTGCATACAAAAATTTTATATGGCAGGATTTTAAAATCCCAATAAAATCTTTCATACAAGAGATTCAAATCAAAATCCCAAAAAAATCCCTTTGAAAAAATGATTTAAATCAAAATCCCTTTTTAAAATCACAAGCTACTTAAAAACTTAATAGAAAAAAGTAGCTGCAGATTAAGATAGACCTTAAAATTGATTAAAATCATTTTTCTCAGAAAACATAAAAAAACAAACAGCATGTAGGTTACAAAAACATCCCATGAGCAGTCATACAGCATTACAAAATAATCAAGATAAACAATAATCCTTAAAGCTCATCTCGAAGCTCATTAATATCATCAAAATGATCTTCATAAACCTCAAATCATCTAAAGATTACAAAAATGAGCATTTAAAGCTTATCAATTATCAGCACATTGAAGAGCATTTAAGTATCTTCAGCATATTTTCTCGACATTAATTTAAGCTCATTTTCTGTTCATTTCATGTTAAATTGTATTATGCTGCATCATGTGTTTACCTTGAAGCTTTTGTTTTGTTGAATTATATTCTTTGCCACTGTTTTGTTTATCCAAAAATCCCAATTTCTCAATAAACCTTCGCTAAACTTCATTAAGCTTATGCTTGACGTAAGACAAAATTCCCACTGGAAATCAGCAGAGGAATTACTTGTAAAACTTTTCGTTGTTCTTTATTCTTTGTTTTGGAGCTTTATTAGATGGTAATGTTTACTGTTGGAGATATTGGATATGCTTGAAATAATTTTTTAAGGATTTGGGATTTTATTTGGTTTTTTACGATCCAGAGGTGACACGACTAAAGATCCAGAAGTGACTAGACTCAAATCTTCACCAAAATTCCTAAATCTTGTCGAAGACACAACCTTACTTTCTTAACAAAAACCTGCTAATACCCAAAATAAAGCTTATACTTCAAACTTTTTGTGATGCGAATTTCATGCTTCAATTTTTTCTTTTCATTTCTCACATCACGCATCCTGTGCGATATTGTGTTAGTATAAATACCCAAATCACTCAATGCCTTCAACAAAACGAAATATGTACACCATTTAGTGTTATTATTAAGGCCTTAATAACAAGGCTCTGGTTAAGACAACGACAAAATGAAATGTTTTAAGATATCAATGATATGAACTTACCAACTGGAGCGATTAATTGATTGCCAGGAGGCAATTCAGGTTCAGGAGTTTCTGGGAGTCGATATAAAAGCCAATAATGATATCTGTAAATAAAGAAGAACATTAAGATGAAAGAATAAGTACGTAAATAGAGCGAAAATGAAGAACAAAACTAGCAATAATGATGACGATGTTGATGATGTTCTGTGAATACTGATTTCTTTGCTAAAGCTTATTTCCTCGGCTGATTATGCCATTCACATACATTACATAAAAGTCTTTTAGAAAATTGGGGAAGTTATTGGATTTATTGAAGGTTAAAGCGCAGAATTTGTGGAATTATTAATGACAATATTGGCAGCAGAAGTGGATATGATAGCACTGTGGTCCCTTCTTCAAAGGTCTCAGGTTTAATTCCAGGATGTAGATTACTTTCGCTCTTATGACCATACAATTTGGTTTGTATCATTGTAGCTTGGACAAGAGTAAGTCAAGGGGAAAACAACTTAATGAGAAAAAGTTTTGATGAAATCTTCAAACAAAATGGTGGAAAATGGTGGAGAATGAATAATAAAAAATTTCACCTCCAAAACTTTTACCATCATGTTGTTTCCCCCTTGAGCTAGGTTAATTCCATCAATATACTAGCATACTTAAATATCCTATATTTGATATTTCATTCAGTCAAAAACTAAGCTCCTCTTAGCTGCTAACATAATAATCCACGAATCACAAATAACTCAACATGTACGTGAAGCCAAATAAGCCACCAGACGAGTTGACAAAATGAGGCATGATTACATTAATATACTTACAATGTAGGCTCCTCTTTCTTTCCAGCTAATGTATGAATGTAATGCCCGTTGGGCCATTCACGAGCTTCGAATGAAAATCTAATACAATAAAATAAAACATACAAAAAATAAGTTGGAAGGAATAAGAGAAATTGCCAAGTGTTAAGTTCGTTAGTAAAAGTTTTGTAATTCAATTAGATTGTCACACATGTGAATTATAAATGTTATTCATTTTTTTGTGCTTCCAGCCAACCCTGACTATGTGTGAACGATGGAAATTATTACGGTAAATATTAGGGAATGAAAAAAAAAATTTTATGGTAAAAATAATTAAATTTCGACTTTTTTTTCTGTGCTTTTTCATGTTTTTATGTAATTTATTTAATAACACATGACGAAGTTGAGTTGACGAGGAATTACGACATTTTCATTAAAAATTCTTATTAAATGCGACACAGAAAATCAGATTACGGAGGCTGTCATTTCTGTTAATAATTACGCAGCCTTTAAAGCACATCCAGACTTTAAATTGAAGCACCTGAGATTTAAAATTCACAACCCAAATATTTTCAAATGTGCGGCAATCCCAACCATAATAAAAATGACTCTCATAATGCCACACGGCAGATAAAAGCTCGTAATGATAATTAACAGCAATTAAAACTGAAAGCATGACTCACTTGGGATCCATATCAGCAGCTTGTGTCATTGCTTTAAAGAAACTTGTATTTTTTGGTGAAATAATTTGAAGTGTATAAACTTCCGTAATATTGGACTCTAGCCAAAGCGTATATGTATAGCTAACATTTTTTTGTTCTGTATCCTCGGCCGAGTTCGATGGAATTCCAACGGGTTGTGCAATCTTTGCATCACCATTATCGCCATTTTCACCATTTCCAATTGGTGTATCACGTATGACATGGTCACATTGTAAAGCTCTAACAGCACCGAGACCTTTACATCCCAATGCCAAAATAATGTCGGCTGTTAAACTTACACCGACGCTTGGATCTTGACCGTCCTGTAATGGCTCTTCCGTCCATGCACCATCAGTTCTTTGACGATCTAAAATCCATTTTGATGCAGCTGATCGATTATATGTCGATGCTCCATCAAGTTGTAAATCTTGTAGTGCCTGCATTGCAAATGCTGTGCTTCTTAATGAACCAAAACTTCCGTGTGGTCCTTGTAAGCCGGCTAATCCTAATGCTGGTCGTCTAATAAAATGCTGTAAATGTCTATGTCGATGATCTGTGATAATACATCGCAGTGCGAGTAGAACCAATGCCATCGTATCTTTATGAGGAGATAAAAATGAAATGAGGAAGTAAATTTGGTTAGAAAGTTTTTGTACTTTTTGTGATTAGAGCGCATTTTTATTGATTAATTTCTTAAGGTGTCAGTTCTTGTTTTCAAAATTTAACGGAAATTTAACATTTGAATTCAACAACATGAGCAGCACATAGGCTACATAAACAGACGACCTGACAACTTGTCAGCAAAATGACATTGACAAAAATCAACACCAAAAATGCAGTAAAAATTTTATATCAAGATTATGGACATAGACACATACACAGTGTGTATGACTTGTCACGATTTTCATTACTTACCAACATTCGTTATTTCGCCACTCGCAATATCAAGTAAACGTCGAATTTGTCTTTTTCGTACATGTGCTCCAGCACTACATGATGCCAAAACACCAAGTGCAAATTCATCATCTTGTGATGTTGATGTATCGTGATGCTGCAAAAGCTGTATCAAATCATGTCCATAAAAGCGACGTGGATCTTTACATAGTGAAAACAGTGACAGAATGTAACGTGCTAAACGATCTGGTTCGATTGGCTTTGGAACAGCAATCGCTTTTGAATTATGCTTGTCAAGCATATTCAGTATGTCAATTTCCATTTGCTTGTCAGACAGTAAGTTTTCTAGCTCGGGTATCTTTGATTCCTCGTTATCGGTCGATTCACGATTGTTGGAAAGCTGAATGTGATGAGAAAAAAAATGGATAAATAGCGGCGAATAAGAGCAAGAAGGATACATAAATAAGTGGGCAATAAATAATTCATGGATGCGAGTATAATAATCTGAAATTGTGATTAGATTTTGGAATTAATCTTCATGAAAAATTCTCAAGGATTTTTTTTCCACTTGAATTTTTTAAGTCCTGAATCCTCTTTAGCTGGTCAAGCGTTGATATAGGCTTTAGAAAATTTTACTTTCATTAAATAAATTGAAAATACAACATCGGTCTTCATCTTGTGAAATTTAGTACTTCGGAAGGTTTTCAGGATTTGTGCGGGGGTAGATTTACTTTGGGGTTGTTCACAAATGACGTCTATTTAAGATTAGTCACGAAATTTTATAGAAAAATCATTTTTAAATGGAAATGTCACACAGAATGAAATATACTCTTTCCTCAAAAGCTAGACATCATTTATAAACAACCCCATTTACAAAAACCTTTTAAATAAATTGAAATTCTATGTAGGCAGAGAAGCAAAAAATTTATCAACTTAATTGATGACTATTCAGTATTCTAAAACAATAAGCTCTTTAAATTGAATAATCCAGACTATCATCCCCAATCCACTTAACTTGTTGCATTAAATACATCAATAATAAAAAATTCATAACTACCTCTCTCGCGAGTATAACCATATGAGTATCATTATCCCATCCATAATCAGATGAACGTTTATCACGTAACCAGTCGAGTGCTTTTTGAATTCCAATTCCCTCGCGATGATTCGGTCCACATCCTAATAGTTCATGTGACACAACTGGTGTCTGCTCAATATTATCTTGCATATTTACTGTTGATGTAAGGACTGTTGACATTAGAGGTCCTGACGATATGACAACAGGTGTCTGTTGCGTATTTTGATTCTGCGACATCGATGTCTGTTGCGATGATTCAGTCGATGGTACAGAACCACCAGCTGATGCAGTATTTGATGTTGTAAATGCCATTTCACTTACAGTCGTTGTCGATTTCTCCTTATCGGTATCGACTGTGCTGGCATGATGTCTTGACTGATAAACAGTCGTTAATACATTCTGTTGCTCATTGATGGGAAACGTCTGGAGATACGTCTCAAGCATCGACTGTGCTGTTGAGGATGATGATGCAATAATCGAACCGCTTGTCGACGGTGAGTATGGATTAAAACTATTGTTGATGTCGGATGCACTACTAGCAATTCCAGCATTACATAATACACAGCACAATATTAATACTAGCATCATATGCAGATACTCTTTTATGCCAATCGATTTTCTCATCATACTTGTCATCGGTGCCATCATCATCATTTTTATAGATTATTATATCCTTTGTATGTGTGTACTGCTGCTGCTGCTGCTGCTGCTGAGATATTGATTGAAAATGATGATGAAATGAAAAACTGCAAGAGAAAGCACAAACGCGTGAGTGAGACAGAGACATAATAGGGGGAGAAAAAAATAATAATTTATTCAGCTGATTCATCATGAATATTAAAAAAATGTAGAGCGTAGAACTTGCAATGCCAAAGTTATTCACCATCAAGTTATATTGACGTGAGAGGAAGAAATAAAAAAAAAATTAAATGAGAAAAAAAAAGTTGCAGGAGATGAATGAGTCGTGAGTTATGGAGACAATCTGAGGATATTTTACTATAAACGCTTTTATTTGAGGACATCAAGTTCTTCAACATTGATAGATTACTTAATAACCAATCATCAAATTAGGATGAAGCCTATATGTCACTTAAGTGTGCAAATAAAATTTAGATCAGACTATTCCTGCTATAATTCCTACAAAATATCCCTTAACATCATATATTAAAGCCCATAACATCCCGAAAAAAAAAATCAAAAATTCAACACACGACATTATAAAAAATTCAAACTCTGTTGAACATATTCATAAACACATAGCAACAAGATTGTTAACCTCATTTCAATCTAATTAAGTTTTTATAGTCACGATCTTTATCAAATTTTATATAGCTATAAAATTACTTTATTAAAGAATTTTATGAGTCCAGATGGATGCACAATCTATGTATAAATCAGATATGTATATTGTGATTGGAATTAAAGCTAATAAAATGAGCAAGAACTGGGGGATTGCAGCCTGTGATGTGGAATATTATTGAGGATAAGCTTGTTGTATTGGTATTTGAAATTGTTATCACAAGTTGATGGCGATGGGAATGAGATTTTGCTCCCCAATTTCTGTTTTGGGATATGTAAGGATTTAATTCTAATTTATGGGATCCTGAAGGTTTTTGAGGTCATTTAGATGAATGCTAGACATGTTCTAAAGAGGGTGGCGTTGAAATTTTTATTGGGACTATCAAGGAATTTTCCAAAGAATCCTAGCGAATTAAAACTCTTTGTTTCCAATGTATTGACCCTTTAACTCCTATGACCTTCCAACAGTTTTCGTCTTTAAAATCCACCCAGTAAGCTCTAAGTAAATTTTTAAAGACTACTTTACAGATTCTTCATAAACATCCTTAAAAAGCAAATTCTTCAACTCTTTCATACTCCCCATCCCATCCAGCTCTCAGCACAATCACCATCTCAACTTGCTTCATGTCATTCACACCACCCAAAATGTCCAATCATTCATACTTTCCCATTAAAATATCCAGCTATAGTTGTTACAACGTAGAAAAAAAAAATAACACCAAGAAAAGAGAGCAAAAGGCAAATGAAGTGAGAAAGATGAAAAGAAAAAAAAATTGCCAATCGAGTCGTGAAAGGAGCAGTTGAGTGTTTACACTTCCAATTAAAAACTCATTAATCGTTCCTTTTGAAGCCAATACATCATTCACAGTTCGAGTGTTTGACGAGTAAGCATTAGAATGAGTGGTAAATAAGAACAGATTGAATGAATGTTGGAAGCAAAAAAAAAAGGGACGACAAAGATTAAAAGGGGTGAGAGTAAATGTTTGCATAGGATCAAGAACTTTCAACAATCTTTGAAGTGGCAAAATGCCTTATCTGTTAAAAACTAAATCTTTTCAGTCGGTTCATTTGAACCCCAATCGTTATTATTTTTTTCTATGACGACTACATGATTATCAGATGTAATATCATGCTAAGCTAAACGGACGGCAGTTTAGGACGGTTTTTAGATTGAGATTAATGCATGTGAAAAGCAGACGGAGATGGAAAAAAAAATTGTTTAGATTTTATACCCTTTTGGCACGCATCACATCGACAATGGATAGAGAATATATTTCAATAGAAATGAAATCTCCAACATGCAATCTTCATTCATTTTGCCTGAGCTGAGCAGATTATTCAAAATTATGTTTACAGATTGCTGAAGACATTTTGGGTGGGAAAATTAAACTTTTAAAGTTTAACGGTTTTTTAAAATTTGAATTATTATTTTTGGTTCAAGGGGTCGTTCTTCAAGGGGTACTTATGACGTTCGAGATTAAACGGTCATTTTTCATAAAAGAACAATGGATTTTCAGGCATTTTTATCCTTGCTGATATGTTTTTTCCTTGTTGACCCCCCCCTTCACATCATAAGTGAACGACCCCTAACATAACATCGCTCTAGCCTTTATAACATTACTTCCAAAATTCATTACTCTAATCCAAAACCACAACCAAGAATCGAGGGTAAGCAAGAAAAGGTTAGCGTGCTGAATTTTATTCCTGTCGGCTTCATAAATCGAAAATGATGATCACGCTTTGTCAATGAACTTTCTATTTACGTCCTCCGAATATATATATTTTCATCAGTAGATATACATTTTAAAATCATATAGTTATTGAGTGACTGAGTCAATGTCATAAGCTTAGAGGGGATGGATTTTTATGCACGAGGCAGATAGGTTCACGTTTGGAATTTTCAATGCGAAAAGAAAAATGATGCTGATGAATAATGAAATAGAACGAGAAAATTGTTCTATTTGTGTATTGAAAGGCGCGCTCGTGTAGTGAATTTTGTTTGTGTTTGAGTTTCATCAGTTCCATTGCATTTTTCACGCAAAATATTTTTCTGTCCCTTTTTTAAACATGAATAAAATTCACATCATGTTTTTGGAAGCGTTTGTTCCAGTCTTTTAGATATAATCAAGCAATTTGAGCCTGTTAAAGTCATCACGCGTTTTGTGTGTAAATTTTGGATATTGATGCTTTGTAGATTTGCTGGGAGATTCAGGTTTGAATCGGTTTATTGGGATTAGATAAATATGAAGTATCATTTAATGATGTTCATGAATTTTTCTGGAAAGCTTATTACTTTAGGCGTTGAGAAGCTCCAGCACTTGGCTATTAGCAACCGAGAAGCAACTTACTTACTTCTTTTCTTAACCGACAACCAAGTGATGTCAAGTAATTAGAACAACCACAGCTGCAACTAGTGAGGATAAGGACGTTTTTGAAAAATAATGTTTGTCAGTACTTCCTTCCAACTTACTTCGCTGGCCGTACAGATCAATTGTGATCCATAGCCTCCCTTAGATGGCACCTTAAGCTGGCCTTATCACCAGCTCCCGTTTACCAATTACCCTTACCAAATGCAATACTGTCTCTGTCAACAGCTTCTTTCCAAGAGTTCTTGGGACGACCGCTCTCCCCTTACTCCCTTTAAGAGTCAACAAGTCTTCTTGCTAGCTATTAAAGTTCTACAACATTTCTTCAAATTGTTCATAAAAGCTCCTCCAAAGTATCCTCATATCTTTTCAAAAACCTACAAAATCCTCTCAAGCACTAAGCCTATCTACTTATATTTCCTTCATACATTCGTGCATCAGGGACGATCAATTTTTCATGTACGTACAAAATTTCGATTTAGATTATGAAGCACGATAGGAGAAGAAAAAAATGTAGAAATTCATCATCTACACAGACAAGCTTTTAGAAAAGCGGCAATAAAATGTCAAAAAGCAATTGAATGCCTTTTAATAAATCACTTTGCAACATTACATTCGATATGTTATGTTCTGCTAAGAACACACTCGTCATCCTTTTTTTCCTTGGTACGGAACAGCAATCGTTTATTCACTTGAAGTGGAGTTAAATCAACTTTTACTTATCAATTTTGTGTGAATTCTTACTGTGGGTGGCCATAAGGGGATTTGTTTTTTTGGGTTATGAAAGTTGGAATTAACTTGCTGAATATTAAAATGATCTGTTGGAAAAGCTTCTCTAAACTTTTCATTCATTCAGCCTTTTTTCGTAGAAAAATTTCCCAAGCCGTCTCGTCACTCGTAAGCCACAAAAATCCCCTCGAGGAATTTGTTCTTCATCCTTTTCAGCAGAGAGCAATTTTTCGCACAACCGTCTCCATTCAAATCCATAATCTTCCATCAATCATCACCCCGACATGAACTCTTTTTCTTTCCTCGCAGTATTTCCATTTTTCCTCTTTACTTTTTTTTCATCAGATGAACGTGCATTGGATCTATGTTCCTACATATATAGGCCAATTTTTCCATCATTTTTCATATTATACACATGTACTGATTGCGAGTGTACACAATATATAAAACGTTATGTGGCTTTATCAGTTAGTTCTTTTTTTTTTTGGTGTTGTCAAGTGAGTGAATGAGACAGAAGATGTGAAGTGAAAAATCATGTCAAATTGCAAAAAGCTATTATTTTACTTGCACAGATTCTTTTCTATGGCTTTTATTTGTTGTGGTTTTGTCGCCTGACTGTAAGAGGCTTTCTGTCTATCCAAGAGTTGTTTGACTTTAATATGAAATTGATAAAACGATAAAGAAAATCCTTTTAAAATTATTTGACCATAAAAACGGAACTGAACCATAAGCAGATGGATTTTTCACTCGAAAGAATTTCAAGAATCAAAAGAAATGGAGAACAAAAAAGTTTTATTGTGAGCACCCTAATCCCTCTTCTTCCGCATTTTTCTTTATCATGTTTTGTGAATTTTTTTCCTCTTTTCAGTTTTTTCGCTGTTGCATAAAATGGAAGTCAATAATGCTTTAAACTTTTTTTTCTTTTCCTATAAAATTAACCAGTGAGAAGTTTTTCTTTATTCTTTATGCTCCCTTTTTTTCAATTCTAAATTACATTTCTCATTCATGTTTCTGGAGGTTTGTTGATGAAGATGTGCTATTTAAATCGGGTATGGTATTTTAGAGAAGAAGAACCGAGCAGCACATATTAGAAAAGTAATGATAGTTTTATTGTATAACAGCTCCATGATAGTTGCATGAGAGCAGCATGTCAGTTGAATGACAGTTGTGTGACAGCAACATGATAGCTGTGTGACAGCAAAATGAAGGTTTTTTGACAACAACATCAAGAGTTTGTGAAAGCAACATGACAGTTATGTG